AGGTAAGGAAGAAGTAAAGAGTGTGTTTTGTGATAAATAATTTTTGTGATACAATAAATATATAATTGATTTTGTTCTTTCTCAGCTTGGTGTTTTATATTTACTGAAGAAGCCATAATTTTCCATATTTATAAAATTCATTGATAATATAGCGTATATTGATTAAATTGATCAATCTTAAGTGAGCAGTGAAGGGTATAACAAAACAGTTATAGACTGGGATTCGGGCAACATATGATTTGTTGGACCTGAATGTGAAATTGTTGCCCTTGGCCTGCGGCCTCGGGCAATTTTTTCACCTTTAGGTCCAACAAATCATACGTTGCCCTCATACCCAGTCAATAACTGTATACTATATTCCGTAATGTAACATTAGATCTGTCACTTTTTAAAACCAAAGAATGAAAATGAGATTAAGCTCCGCCCATTTTGTGACGTAAGCGGTCCAACATCTCTCCGAGCGGTCCAACATCTCACTCAGCGGTCCAACATCGATTTTTTTATGCCCGCTCAGCAAAACATTAGTAATGTTAGACTTTTTTCTGTATAGATTTGTATGGGAACAAATTTTTAAAGGTATAACAATAATGTTAGGTATAGTATAGCTTTGATTTTATTATTCAAGCTTAAAAGCTTTCAGAAATGAACACTTCATATCATAAGGCTGCTTGATATTACTGAAATGCATTCGACTAAAGGATATTCCTAGCAAAACGAATGTTTTTTAATCAAAAATTGACAAGGGGTGTTAATTCTACGGGGTCATTTTTCTGCAATGCACACGGAGAAAAACGACACCAAGGCCATAATTTCTACAAAAAGAGGGACATTTTTCTAAGTAGAATATTGACCAGGGGGTCAAATTTCTAGAAAAACGACCCCCGGTCAATATTTTACGAGGGTCACCTTTCGTCGTTAAACCGGAACTTTTTAACTTAGGCTTAAATTCAGTTGCCACCTTAAAACTTTGAGGTAAGTTTTTGTTTACGTCAAAGTTGTCGTCTGCAAAGCCCAAAGGATTAAAAAAGCGAAATGTTGAAGAACTTAGGCTAGAAGTCTGATCATATGCGATCTTACACTGTAATAATGAATTTAGGTTCTTAAAAATTTGAATTGTTTACATTGCTTTTTTTCTAAACTTACCATGTGTGGAGTTGGGGATAGAAGACATTCGAATCAACAACATAACATTACTGTCATAGGCGTCGGAAGTACTTTGCATACGAAATAAAGAACTACATAGAGACCCCAACAATGCACTGATAATATCTTTTTTTTTTTTATAATACTGTACGACCATCCGCATCAAATATTGGATTCCGAAACTTCATAAGAAAGATAGCCTACACAAGATTTCCCACGATAAATTAAGTCCGGGCATTTTAATATATCATTAATGTTCAGCTGCTTTTTCAAATTTTTGGAAATCGTAATTTTACTTACCTGGTCAAATTTGGTCATTTGCAAATTATTTTGTAAAAAAACATTCTGATTGTACACACAAGTAGGTACGGTGGCTGGTAGAGGACATGGCATGATATTTTTAAAATAAATTTCGTTGGAACGAATTAAAAATTCGTGGCCACGAAATAAATTTGTGCTATATAAACCATTTTTAGCTTCTCTCTTATGTATTGACATATACAGGTATAGAGTTCGTAAGGGGACGACCATTTGATTCTGAAGGGGGGGGGGCTGGCAGATTTTGGAAATAAATAACCTGTCTCTGATTCTGAAAATGTTGAAAATAAATAATCCGTCCTCCTCTGCAAAGAAAATAAATAATCTGACCTTGACTTATGATATTTAAATATTGTGAAAATACCTTTTTATTTCCGTGTAATTTAACCTCAGAATCTTCAATTCAGCATTTTTTTTTTGGCTCGCTTCGCTCTCCATTTTAGAACCAAATGATATTTAAAATCAGATTACCAGACTGGATACTTGTAGTCATTTGATTAACATGACAATGTGCACTCAGTAGATGTGATGAATCACTTTAAATAGGCCTACAAGCCAATTCTTAAACACCACAAAAGATAAATTTTCAATACCACTATAATTGTCCTGGTTTTACTCTCAAAACACCCGAAAACCCAAGAGCTTCTGGGGAATTTCCCTCCCATGGCCTCCACCAGTGCTTCACCCAAGACCCACTTGTGTCCTTAAGGCGGCCCCAGACCTCTTGCCTGAACGAAGTTACACCCTCCCCCCCCATCCTGAATCCGCCTATGGTATATAAATGATAAGTCTTTTACTCATGAGAATCAGTCGATCAAGGTACCGTACGACAAAGAAGAAAATAAATAATCTGTCCTCGATAATCTTAAAAATAAATAATCTGTCCTTGACAGGCATGAAAATAAATAATCCGTCTAAAAAAAATTGCCAGCCCCCCCCCCCCCCCCCCCCCCTCAGAATCACATGGTCGTCCCCTAATTTAGACGCCAATGTGTGTATGTACACGCGCGCACGGAACTGCAAACAAAAGTTGAGAAGATATGTTATTTACATGTAGCTAAGCTTATGTCTAGTGCATTTTTCAATGTACTTCACACATTTATTGCTAGATGTTTAAAATATATAGCGTGTTATTGTAAAGCTTTTCTAAGTCAATCACTCAATGTTTATTTGTAATAATCGGGAACGTGACATCTTAAAAATAAAAGCAATACTCAGATAAAGTAATATAGTAAAAGTATAGTAAAAGTTGGGGGGGGGGGGGGGCAGCACCCCCCCCCCCCGGCCCCCCTATTGCTACGTGCCTGCGTGGCCACGAATTAATAAAAAAAATTCTCATACCATGTCCTATACCAGCCACCGTAAGTAGGCCTACTCTGAAGCTGAAATAAAAAAGATGCCTGAGTTTCTGACTGACAATATCTATGTCGTTTTGGAGACCAGGTCTTCCAAAATTCCCATGGGTACCACTTGCGCCCCTTTATTATTGTTTGCAGCTGAGTGTAAAGTTTTACGTTACGTCATGATGTAGTTGACAGCTGCGCTCAAGGTAAATTGTACACGCCTCCTAAACGCAAGCTTTACGACTGGAACTTTCTTCTTATCCCTGATTGGTTGTTCGTGCAACAGACTACTGCCGTGTCAATGTTGAAAATATGAGTTGACCAATCACGTGAATTGTTTACGCTTGATGCACCTAAAAGGATCGTGACATAACGCAAAACTTAACACTCAACTGCAAACAATAAATATATTAGCAGACCTTTTTTTCATTTGAAGCAGAATTTGTGTTATATCTATGCGTGAAAAGAAGAAAACACTTGCTGTGGCCTTCGACCTTTTTTTATAGATATATCGACGACGTACAGCCAGTGTATTGTGAATTAACAACGGTCCATTCTTATGTCGATAAGATATATCCTGGTGAGATTGAGATAAGAGATACCACAGAGTCTGACACATCTGTTTGATATTAAGATATTTTACTTGAAAAGACGTTAATGGTAATCTAACATCCAAGCTCTATGATAAACCTGATGAATTTAACTTTTCTATTGTTAACTTGCCTTACTTATGCAGCAATATACCTTCATCACCTGCATACGGAGTTTATATATCTCAGTTGATTCGACACAAAAGAGCATGCTCTACGTATGAACAATTTCTAAAACGAGGTATATTATTGACAAGTTGATAAAATTTCAGCAGTCTCGTTTAAGTCACCAATTCGTAAGTTTTGTAGTCGAAATAATGGCCTTGTCAGCAAATAAAATTTATCATTGAGTCAACTGCTGACTGACATTTTTCATACTTCTTGTTATTCCTATTTTAAACATAACAGGAAAGGGGAAACTCATTTTCAATTTCCCACTTTCTTCAGTTTCTGATTTGTCATATAATCGTTTCATATGCAAAGAAGTATTCATTTCATTAAAACATCTATGATTGAAACCATGCATCGATGATTCTAAATGTATTGCTGTGGACTGAGGTAAAGGTTAATTACTTGAACTCAGATCACCATTTGATAAGATTGATTGATTGATTGTATATTTACTGTTTAACGTCTCTCTTGAGAATTTTTCACTCATATGGAGACATCACCATTGCCGGTGAAGGGCTGCAAATTTTGTTTTTTACTCGGCACTCAGGGCCATTGAGCAGGGAGGGATCTTTTTCGTGCCATCCAATGCATCCGAAATCCCGTCTCTACGTCCCACAGTGGGATTCGAACCCGCGATGTAAGGATTGACTCCTTACTTCGCGACTCGAGTCGAGAGCAGACGCTCTAACCTCGTTGGCGACCCATTCGATTGAAGTTACTATCATTCCAATAACAGCGTGTCACTTTGCTTAACCGAGCGTGGTAAAGTTTCACATGTTGATTACCATATTACTCATCGATTGGATATATGATTTCAATGAAAGCAATACTACTTTGCAAATAAAATACAGAACCCAGCAATACCTCTTACAAAACTGACCAATCGTATTGAATAATTGTTCACGAGAATGCAGTAAACAATAATCACATGTGGACAGACAAAGCAAGTTTTTATCTTTATAATGATGGATATACATGTATTATAATAGTTTCAAAGTATAGCCTTACTTATTTCATGCTTTAAATATTCTCATTCGTATCAAAATTGATTCCATTCGGTCATATCACAAGAAATATGGCACGACGTGCTTTTTGCTGGACAGTAAACGGGCTTTGACTGACCACGTGTTGCCGGTGACTACAAATGCCGCGCTGGAAAACAATCATTCAATACGATTGGTCAGTGTTATCGGGGTATTATTGGATTCTGTTTTTATATGCAAAGTAGTATTGAATTCAAATCAAACATCCAATCGATGAATGATAGGGTAATTAATTTGTGAAATTTTTACCACGGTCGATCAAGCAAAGTGACACGCTGTTATTGGAATGATAGTACCTGGCATACCTGCACATGTACAAACAAACAAAAAACACAAGCCCACACGTAGTGGGTAATGTTAATGTTGATGTTTAATTCTGTCGTCTGTTGTAGGTATGTTCCAAATGTATAAAACTTCTGAACTAAAATAATGGCGAGTCTAGCGTATTGGATATCCATCCTGGTGATTTATAAGACAGCTTTGTGTATTGAACAACCATACAGACTTGTTGTGAATACCACGTGTTTGGAGATGAATAATCAAGATCGTCTGTCGTGTGGAAGCAATGGAGATTATCACTGCCTCCTTGATGAACATTACTTTGATGAGTATGAAGTGTGCAGAGGATGGAAGTGGATTCCAAGCGGTGAGAAACGCATTCTTCACTGAAAAGGGTCATTCATTGTTGAACTATTGAACTGCTGTTGAATGTCAGTTATGTTCTTATTCGTTTCACTCAAACGAACATAAATAATTTATAAAATAAATAACAACACGTATATAGGTAGGTACAGAAGCGCTCTCGTAAGTGCAGTTTAATATTATATACAAAATATACATTTTCAACTTTACTCCTTGACAACTCATCCATTCTACAAAAACAAAAACATATAATTAATAAAACAAACGATACTTGTGATGGTGGGTGGGCGGTAATCCCTTTTGAGATTCTGCTAGGCTAGATATTTGGACTGACGCCGTCGTCATTACGACGTCAAATATTCACTGAAATCTCAGTTCAAAATATGTTCAATACGTCACATTATACTTGGTTCAGAATCACATAGGGTAAAAACAGACTATAGGAACTCTTTTATTCGAGGATGTAAACAATTTCGTCACGGGAGCCATATTTTGAACTGAGATTTCAGTGAATATTTTTATGTTGGGATTTACATGCCTAAACGGTAAGGTATGTAGAAATAACAGTGACAGAGAGTCAAATAAACAACTAAATGACTTAATTGAATCGAACGGCAGTGTGGTCTAGGCGAATAATTCTTGCTATAACCGACCGAAGTTGGGACTTAATCTCCAGACATGAATTAATATATATAGTAGTCGTCCAGGGATTCTGCGACGGCGTCAGTCCAAATATCTAGCCTAGCAGAATCTCAACAGGGATTAGGTGGGCGGGGCAATGCTTGTCTGCACTGAGAAAGAGCCTTCGAATGGCATTTAAATCTTACACACGCTAAGGCGTGTTTGCTTTAACAGAATACCTGTATAAAAGGTATTCTATAAATACCTTAACCAATCAGACCGACATTCTTCCTATACACCAGATAAACACGTGTTCGATTGATACACGTGTTGTGATAACTTCAATAAATACATTGGTAAATGTCTCGTGATCAGGTGATAGTGATAGGGGTACTAACAAAAATCTTTATCAAGTATAGGTATGATTTCAAACACTCTATTTTTACCTAAGTGTGTAATTGTACATGATCAGTTTATAGCACAGAGTTTAGGACATTTCACTTAACCCCCCAACCCACCCACCCCATTTAATTTTGTGTTTTTGTGTGTACAGACTGTATGTAATTATTTGTCTTGTTAGAACATCAATCAATTGTGCGGTCTTGGAGCTGTCTACCTATAATATTGCTTTCATTTTGATTTTGGGATAGAACAGATAGGAGTAGTTCATGCTGCATTATTTAAGTTTTGTAGAAATTAATAGACCAATGCATTATAAAAGCCATGCTGATTTCGAAAGGCCAACTTTTTCTTCATGTCAACTACTTTCAGTACCAATTCCTATACTATATTTTCCGTACATCACTAATAGTGAGGGGGGGGGCAACCAGACTTTTAATTAATATTTCCTATAGTATAAGTAAGGTTGGGGGGGGAAAGTGGGGGGGGGGCTTGTTGCTACGTCCCTGCTACTGGAGAGATTGAGAAAAACTTCTCAATTATTAATTTGATTATGCTTTACTTTCGTAGGAGATGAGATCAAGATCATATATGCAGATGGATTATTGTTCACACTTCCTTTTCTTGTATTTTTTTTTTCGAAAATTTCAGGCAAGTGTGCATATTTTAATACGTATGGAAGAGGAAATGTAGACGAAAGAGATTGTGATTATACTCCAGGATTGACATGTCCAACGGCACAGTACAGGTCTACGGATAATACTCAAAGTAGGTTAAGTATATTGTATGACTTATAAAATATAGTTTCAGGTCATTTTTTGAGCTTGAATACTATTTGTTATCTCCATATATATTCATTTGTACCGATAATGAGGAAGAGGCTACACAAGAAAAGATTATTTTACCATGCATTCATGACGCGAAAGATACGCGTTTATTTGCAAAACGTTTGTGTTATTACGCGAAATTAAAGTTGCTCATTTATTCGCAAAAGTTTCGCGTTATAACGTGATTTTTTCGTAGGTTAAAAAATCTCAAATTTCGCGTTATAACGCAAAACTTTTGCGAATAAACATGAAACTTTCGCAAATACACGCATAACGTTCGCTTTATAGCGCGACTTTTGCGGTTTACCGAGACATTTGCATTTTCAATTTTCATTTGATTTTATGATTTGTTACAATTTCTGTTTTCTAATTTTTTTCCGTTACATTTTTTGTTTCTCAATGCTGTTCAAACAATTCAAAGTCTATGCGAGTTTTCAAACAGTGAAACTTACAGTTCTGGATTTTAGGAAAAGATCACCCTTTGTCGATGTCATTAGTTTTTACACTCTCTTTAGAATTTTTAATGAAATTAAGATCTCAGAAAATTCATTGAATTTGATAAAATTTAGTAAAGTTGTCAATTGTGTCCCATTTTATAGGTGACGTTATGTATAAATTGGATGACAAATTTTCATTTGTCTCCAAAAGACTCGCTGTAGAAATACAACATCGTATTTTAAGGTTGCTCCACGTGGTCATACCATTGCTTACGAAACATAGACAATGAATTCAAAGCGTACAAACTCTCAAAAAACAAGTCTTTAGAATTTCTGGAAATAGATTTTGGTGCTAAGGGTCTATTTAATTTATTTATCCCACCCACCCACCGGTATTTATTAACTTTTTTTTTAATTTTAGATAGTGCTTGTTACGTTAGGAAAGAAACCACAACACAAATAAGTATAAAGTATGTTTGGTTAAATAACATAACAAAATCATTTCACAAACATGTGTTTTAATTTGTTTATTTACCATACCACTTACTTTCAATGCATGTGATTTTTAAAAAAAAAATTTGATTGATCATTTCAGATTGCTTTAATTTATTTTCCCTATCTAACACAATTATGGCAACAGTTTGTTTTCAGATGCATTATTTTTTGCTTAGTTGCTTGAATAACTCCAGACTGAAGCTCTCTAGAAAAGAAAAGATCTACATGTATTATTCATACATGTAAGCTTAATTTTTCCTCCAGAGCTTCAATACTTGAGCTAAGTTGTTGAAGAATCACTATCGTAAACGACATATGGGTAGGTCCCTAGTACTGGACCTACTTGTGATTTTTCAAAAAATTGTTCTCAAATGTTTAGATTGTTCATACTAAGGTATGATGAATTGGAAAAAAGAAGGGGTTGTCAATATTATTACTGAGAGAGAGTTTCTCAAACATAGGTACCCCCATTTGTCAATTGACGATATGAGATTCCAATAAAGGTTTCACATAATTTGTACATAAAAACACTAATTTTGATGCTAATGAATGATTTTTCCTATTAAAATCAAAGAAATATATCCAATTAAACAAATTACAGTGAAATTTTATTCTTATTATATTTTCCTTGGTTTTTGGGGACTAAATTGAACAAAATACAACCCTCGACCAGCCCAAAAACTTGGAAGTACAACACTATTAAAATTATTGTAAAAAAAAATTGACTTGTGATTTTTCAGTCAAATTCTCAAATTATGTTCATCTATGACTATTTGTTAAAATTAAATTAAAAAAACAGCACATTGCCAGCATATATTTTTTCTCAGCACCACCATTTATTTATACGTTTTTTGTCCAAATTGAGATTTTTGATAAGGAATTTCAAATGAGGGAAGATAAAAAATCCAGAGCTATTGATGACTTTTATTTCATTTCATAGATGCATAACTGCAAAAGAATAACAACATTCTTTAGAATATAATATAATTTTACAACCTATAATACTTTCTGTGTGCCATTAATTACAGATATATTTCACATATTATACATGTACATGTATCTGTTTTTCAAGTAAATGAAATGAAAATCCACAGTCTAATCAGTCATCAATTTTGAAGCATTACTCTTTCCACTACATTGAGTCAAAATACATCCAGTTATGTGTTCAACAGTATACACAAAAAATTAGTATACTACAGAATATTAACAGTCAGCATAAAAAACAAATACAGTCGAACGTTAGGTTGAGTGTTGACTGAAATCTCCCATACAAGTTTTTAGACCTTTATTTTACACACTGTATTGTCTAAATTAAAATACATACAAACAGTAATCATTCACAGCTATTCAAATATTCAACCAATTTGTTGATTACATTAGATGACTTGGATATTCTAGGCTGCTTTGAACCTGATAATGGTTCACTAAAAACATTTCGTAACCCATTATGTGGATCCCTCTTGTGGATTAGCACCAACTTAGACAAACTAAGAGAATTTGCAATCAACTTCTTCGAAATCATGGAAGATACAATCTTTGCCTTAACAAGGGGCTCTAAAGACTTCTTTATGGTATAATAATTCAATGTGAACACATCATTAGCTGAACACAGAGCCAACAACTTCATTTCAAAAAGTTCCCTCAATGCCTTCACATCAGCAATAGCATTATGAGCTTCATAATCTTTTCCAATGAAAGTATTTACAAGAGTGACTTGTTTAAAATCTTTAACATCATCTTTGCTGAAAGATTTCCTAGACACTTGTAAGGTATCTATAAAACCAGTGACAGTGCTAGCAAAACTGTCAAGTAATTTACATTTGACTAGCTGATTCATTAACACTGGTAGGTCAAAACATTGTATATTGTGCCCAACCAAAATAGGTTTACAATCAACAGTCTTCAAAAATTCAACAAACTGCTGAAGTCCTTCAAAGGGCTCTTTATGGTCCACCTTCTTGCCATTATGCTTCAGCACACCACCAACAAAAGTAAGCCCAGTTGCTGCAGATGCATCAAGACTAATTGGGGACTGCGGTGTCAAGTACATGTTGAACTCTCTCTCTCCACATACAGCTGCAATCTGAACAATGTCTGATGTCCTGGCTGAAATAAATAAAAATAAATATTGAAACTCCCATAGTGTATACTTCTAAGTCAAGTGCAACACAATTCTCTTAACCTTATATAATATATTCCTTAGATATTTCTACAAAGAAAAAATATAGTTCACAAACCTAAACCAGTAGTCTCTAGGTCAAATACCATGTAAGATTTGTTAGTACTTGGTAGTTGATCTAATTTATTCAGAGAAATGTCTTCCAAATCAACTTCTTCGCTCAAACCAATTTTGCTGCTGTATGTATCCGCTGCAATAGAAATGTTTGGAAAAAAAGACAGGTAAAAACAAACATCACACATATAAATTAAGTTTCAGATAAATTGTATTTATCTGACTTACCTTCAAGAACAGATTGTGATGCATCTTTTGCAGACCGCTCTGACTTCAGCTCTAAACGCCTCCGCTTTGTGCTCCGCTTTGCTTGTTGTAATCGCTTCAGCTTCAGTCTGCTTTGTAGGATCCTGGAATGCTTGAGGGTGTATCTTCCAGGAGACATTGTCAGCCTTTTATTCACCTGAGAAAAATAACAAATATGAAATTGAAAACTTTTTCTGGAAAAGAAAAAGAAGAATCAACAGATCCTTATCGATATGTAAAACATGTAATAATTTTTTTTTCAAGTAAAGAGATTATATATTTTATGGAGTAAAAAATCAAATGTGTCTGCATTAAAATGTATTACAGCAAAACTTGGTTATAACGAAGTCACCGGGACCTATAAAATTACTTCATATATCTGTAATTCTTTATATCCATATAAGAAGTTCATTAAATTTATATAGATGGGGATCCAATACTTCGCTATATCCGTGAATTTGCAATATCCGTGTTCGTACTAAACGAGTTTTACTGTTACAATAAATTCACACATTTTATAGATATAATTCTCGAAGAACTTTCAAAACCTTTAAAAATTAATCATGCATTAAAAATGAAACTGCGTCAAGTAAATAAAAAAAATGTAAACAAGACAAGAACAAAAACTACACAAACAAGTTTAGGCTATGTATGGGTATTTTTGATGTTTCCTTTTAAATACTTTACTTTATAGACATTGCCTAAACTGCCATGTGTGAACATCAAAAGAACATCAAAGAACATTTTTTTTCATTTGTATACCTCAGTTATATAATTATACCCCTCATTTTTCTGACAGACAGTTGCAGATACTCTACTATGCAGACTGTCTGAACCTCCATAAAACCTATGAACAGTTTAGGTGACATAGTCTAATTAATAAAAGGTATATGTTTTATCTATGTGCATGGTTTTTATCATTTCATAAATTTGAAAATTAAAAATTCTTACATTCTTTTAGGCGCTTTGCTAGAGACCATGTGGTTAAAATTTTCATTCACTTGAGTGGATCCCATCGACACCAACTCAGTTGCCCGGTCTGCATACTTCTCAAACAGTTTTTCTAGAGCTGATCTCAGAGGCTCACTTGTAAGAGGTTTCCCATATGGCAAGTTTTTTGGTTTGTAACCAGTTTGTTCACTCCTGCACCATGTGCCACACATGGAATGGTCCCCTTTTAAGATTAAATACACTAATACAAATACAGCATTCATACATTATCATGAACTCAGACCAATTTCTAAAAATTTCTAAAAATAATTAGAAAACAAAATTATTTTTCTTGCCAGTGTCAAACATTAAATATATGTTCATTCTTTTTGCAAGTAGTATTCTTACCATATAAATGAGGAACAATTTTCCCCAGATCATTGGCTAACTTTTCTGGATCTTCAGATGCCTGATGAACACAATATGTAAAGCATCTCTCAATGTGTGTTCTAACTTTAACATTTTTCAATACTTTATGGGTATTGCTGATTTCCACAAGACTTCCAGTAAACCCTTTTTTCATGTGATTGCTGTCCACCTTTTTCTTTATATCTGGATCAACAGTTGCTCTCAATCTGGCTATTGTTGTAGAATCGTTGTCCATTACTAACGTAGTAACCTAACAACATTTTATAATTATAAGCAAAATAAAAAACAGTAATGCATTAGCACTTTCATTTACAATCTTCATATATATAAATATTTAATAAAGCATAAAGAAAGAGGGCGTATAAGGCGTGTACAAGATATATATATATGTAATAAAGATTTCATGGAAGGTGGCATTTTAATTCATAGCGCTTTCACCTCTTAGCTCTTCATGGATTTTGAATATTGAATGTACACAGATATATATATAAAATCGAACATATCTATACAATTCATACCTTTTCACCTTGATCTTTTATGCTCTGCACCATCTCGCAAGCCATAGCAGGTTCCATAGATTTGGCTGACCCTGACCAGTTTCGACTGCATTTGTGCTTCCTCACAGGAACATCCTTCCGTTTTGCCAAGTCACATATTCTGCATTTTTTAGATTTTACAGCATAACCAACACATTTCTTGGTTTTTTCCCCAATCAAACTTGCATGTCCTTCAAACATAAAGAAAATTGTTCAATAGCAGTAAATACTTTGTATTATTTTAGTAATCAGTGAAAAGTCAAAGCATCCAATTCAAATTACTAATAAGAATAATTGATGACTTTTTTAAAAACATCAAAAAATACCTGTAAGGCTATTGTAGGCACGCCCAGTGCCCCGTTTTTGCCAGGCACCATCGAAGCTGACAGTGAGATTACCATCACTCCTGAAGAAAAATCCAATAATTATCATGCATGAAATTTCTATTTTTTTTTTCAATAATTCAAATTATTTTGACAAATACCAATAAACGTACTTTTCAACTTCCTCTAATAGACTGGTTCGACAACTTTCTTCTGCCATTTTACTCAGTGTACTGCCAACTTCCCTTTCCCTTTCCTTTAGACCTCCCTTCGAAATTCCTGGAATGTTTAGTACTGCTAAGAAGGCATTTAAATGAGACTCTCCGAAGCCACCATTGATCATTCCTAAAATATTACAAACACAGTTATTTAAAACAATAATCAAAGATTAAAACAAGGGTGTGCAAACTGCAATTACCATCGCCCGACGCCCGGGGCTACCAATTTTAGAGGTCAGCTATCTTAAATCTATACTGCGTTAGCCCGTCGCTAACGGGCTAGTAAATCTAAAACGAAAGTAAACATATATTTACCTCGACTGAATTGAGGTACGAATTAACTTTTCTGTAAAATCAAAATCTTTAATTCATTTTAACCTATATGCATTGTGTGTTCCTATCGCCAGTCATCTCACTGACAATTATAGTCGATATAAATAGGGGGAAGTACCTGACAATTACAAAGCGCAAACCATTATTTGTTTTATTTATTTCAACTTCAATGTTTTTTTTAACCTTTATGTTATACTTATACATGTATTGTTTTCGGTAGTTAATGGGCTAGTGACTGGAAACCTCGGGCTAGTAACTTTGTTACCGCCACTTGCCCAACGGGCTAGTAATTTATTTTTGTAATATCTATTGCACACCCCTGATTAAAAACACCAATGTACACAATTTATCCAAGTTTATTTCAGAACTATAATACACTTACCTACTGCTACTTTCGTATTAATATCCCATGCTTTTCCTCCCTTTTCTGTTAGATGTTTTTTGCCTGTTGGGACATCATTAAGTAGCCTACACTCCTGGTATCTACACTGCACTTGGAGAATTTGAGCGAGTCCGAATCTAGTCTCTCCAACACAATCGGATAAATGCAAAGGTTGCCCACATCTCTTGCACTCCTTTAAATTATTTGCAAGGATACCAAGTTCGATTATACGTCTACCTTCGCTCCAATCATTTTTACCTGTTGGCTCAACAATTTCCTCTCTAGCAACACGGACATCGGTAGCAAGGGGGTCAACACAGTGATACACATGGTCTTCGTTCGTAACTGGAGTGATTACAGGTGTTTCAACATTTTCTTTGGAAGTATTTTCATCACTGCGGTCCCAATATTTTACACACTCTCTCCTCAGGACTTCATTTTGCTTTATACGAGAGGATTTCACGAATTTCCCCTTCTTATTTCTTGCCGCCATTACTGCGGGATGTTATCGATAAATAATAGTGTTAAAAACCTATCCGGGAGTCCGATCCGGTTATGACGTCACACGACTAGACCCCTACTCATTTTAATTATTAATGTGATACTAGTACTGCAGAACAGGTACTTTAAATAAACTGTTTAATGAAACTCCAGTCTCCTATTTCATTTTGTTTCCAAGTGTTTACAACCATTTAGACAACAAAGACATCACCTTTCATTTCATAAAGAGCTGGGTTCATAATTCTGAGGTAATTTTTCTTCTTCTAAGGGTTAATTATGCCATTGTTTTCAGGCACTCTGAGAGCTCAGTTGTAGAGTTTAGGGGGTTAGATTTTAGTGCCATGCTGTGGAGGTTACAGATATATAATTTGTCAGAGATTGACCTATATTGGTATGTAAGTGAACACATTTAAGGAGGGGAAATGGTGGTCAGATAGATTTGTTCACCATTGGACCATAGGACAGATCGATAGCTCAACAGGTGGAATACTTATTTCTGGTCGGAAGTATCCGACATTCTACTGGCTTTTTAAAACAATTTTGATATAAGACGTCAGAATGCAGGCCTTTGCAGGGCGATTGTGAAAAGTGAAAATTTGCCGTCTTCAAACGGAGGCATCATTCTTGGGTTGATTTTCCATGCATGCAAATTGAATTTAATGTCAACGCACATCTTACCAACATTTAATTGCTTTGAATATTATTTTTGTTTATTATAAAGTCTTGTGAAAACATTTTATTAAATTGTTGAAATTAGTTTTGATTTTGTGCTGTTTGAATTCTTGTAAGAATTGAATCAAAATGTAGAGTGGTATTTCTTAGTGAAATTTCAAATCATTGTGCAGTTGATATTAAAGTTGTGAGTTTATTATTTAAGTTACACTGCAAGTATCTTATTCATCTGGTGCCACATGAATTTTTGCAAAATCACTTTTTAACAAGCTGTTTTTGTGAAACACTATGTGCCCGGCAGTAACAACATTGGAAAAAGCTATTTTTTAGCATATAAGTCACAGTGACGGTCACACAATCATTGTCCTTGGTGTCATTTGAAAGCAATTAGTGAAGTATGAATAACAGATATGATGTCTCTATTTCCTATGGTTCAAAAATTATGGCAAAAGTTCAAAAAAGCTATTTTTAGCATATAGGTCACAGTCAAGGTCACAAGGTCATTGACCTCGATATCAGTTGAAAGTGCTTAGTTAGTGGGGTATGCATATCAAATATGAAGTCTCTATCTCTCACGGTTCAAAAGTTATTGTGAAGGTTAAAGTTGACAACAGACAAACAGACAGATGGGATAAAAACCACCCGAATCTATCATTCAGGCACATAAAAATCCTTGGCAAATGCCAGATATTTAGGACTTATCACTTATCTTTTATGCTGCACTACATCCAACTTTAGAAGTAAAACCTAGGAAGTGAATACCAGAGCTTTCAAGAAGAAGCAAAAGGAGGCGATAAATCACCAGTTCAAATGATTAGAATTTGCTTGTAAATTTGTTATTGGCGAATTAATGAAAATAAATTAAGAATATCCTCTTAAAATAGACAATTCACCTCTTCTCTTCATTACTATTGGGCACTTCACACTGCTACTTAATTTTTTCAAACAGGTCTCAGAATATTTAAATATACCATTTATTCATTGATTCTTGCAATAAATCTTTGTACCCTAAATGCATAATTACTTTATGATCATCATGTTAAGAATTATTTTCAAAAGTGATGCATGAATGTTACTCATATTTATACAGAAAGACTTGTCTGTATATGAGATGAATACATTTCAAGTTAAAATCTCTTTTACGTGCTAGAGCACGTACACTCGAGCACATACACTATCATATCTCCCAAAACTGATAACAACCTGAACATTTTCCAAATTTTCACTGTACTGTCGTAAACTTCAGATTCATTTTTTTGTCTTTGCTTTCTTCTTTTGCTTCACTTGCTTTGATTTTCCATCATGGCTTTTAAATTTTTTGAATTTGCTAGGTTTGAAGCAGGGGCGTAGTATCCGGGGGGCCTGGGGGGGCCTGGCCCCCCCCTTTTTTTTCCCAACGTAACTTACACTACAGGAAATGTTAATTGAAAGCCTGGTTGCCCCCCCCCCCCACTTTTAGAAATGTACCGAAAATGTAGTATAAGAATTGGTACTAAAAGTAGTTGACACTGAGAAAAAGTTAACCTACCCCCCCCCCCCCCATCCACTCTTCCCACGAAATAGGATTTCAACTTTTTTTGCTCGACAACTTTTTTCAGGTAAGTAAAAAAAATTTTTCTCTGCCTGGCCCCCCCCCCCCCACTTTCAAAAACGATGCTACGCCACTGTGAAGGTCTTTTTTCCCTTGTCTTTTTTGTTATATTTGTTAGTCCCCTTTCACTGGTTCTCTTTTTTGACTGGTGACCCTTCCTTCTTGTCTTCAGCTGGTTTGCTGTCCCTCTCTCCCTCCTTTTCCTTCTTGCCCTCATCAGAAATGTTCACAGACTCTGCCATCTCAGTTGCAACCCGAGTTTTCTCTTCCTCCCCTGTCATAAAAATCAGTTTAAATTTCTTAAACTCTAATAATTCTAGTCATTTACTGGAAATATTTCTTGAAATCTAACCTATCAACACTTACAGAAACCATACTTGGAAAGGATTAAGGAAAAAAAAAACAAAAATATAAAGATATAATCTGAAGCTACTACAGTAATCAGTATATATACTGTTAAATTCAATACACAATGAAATGCAGTTAAATGTAACATATGAAATTGCGACATCACAGCCTGGATTCTCTCTGATTTACAAGGCTGTGTAAGAAAGATAAAAGTGTATGTAAGTTGCATAAAAGCTGTCGATGATGCATATGTGCTTGCCCCAATGGTTATATCTTTGACAATACAGATATTAACATGAGGCCCAGGGGCCACATCGCTCACCTGAGAAAATTGGCCAGGAAAAAGCACATATCAGAAGGGAGAGGGAGGGGGCTTGAATTTTAATACTACTTGAGGTTGCTTTCATATTAATACAGCATATGACTTGGCTGTTCTTGATAAAAAGATTTTTTTTTTTTACATTTTCTTCCTATATATAAATTTATAATAATTTGAATTTGATTCCTCATTGTTTCCCTCCCTACCCCAAAGGGCTATGATTTGAATAAATTTAAATCTTCAATACATGAGGATGCTTAAATGTCAATATGACTAAACATAGCTTCTCTGTTCTTGGGATTTTTCCCCCCTTTATTTTTCTATGTAAAACTTTGATCCACCATTGTGGCCCCACCTTACCCTTGGGGGTTATGATTTGAACAAATTTAATTCTACACTACCCGAAAATGCTTCCATACAAATGCTAGTATGACTAATCATGGCTTTGCTATTTCCCCCATTGTGGTCCACCCTATCCCTGGGGGTTATGATGTGAACAAACTAGAATCTACACTACCTTAGGATGATTCCACATAAATATCATTAATCATGGCTTTGAAGTACTTGAGAAGACGATTTTAAAAGATTTCCCTATCTAGTCCTACGTAGAACTTTGATCAGCCATTCTGTTCCCCTTCCCCCAAGGGGTCATGATTTGAACACTTGAATCTGCACTACCTGAGGATGATTTCACATGAGTTTCATCTTTCCAGGCCCAGTGGTTCTTGAGAAGAATATTTTTAAAGATTTTCTCTATATACTACTGTGTAAAACTATGGTCAGCCATTGTGGCCCCACCCTACCACAGCGAGGGGGTCATGATTTGAATAAATGTGAATCTACGCTACCTGAGGATGATGTCACATGAGTTTCATCTTTCCAGACCCAGTGGTTCTTGAGAAGAAGATTTTTAAAGACTTTCCCTATATACTGCTATGTGAAACTTTGATCAGACATTCAAGCCCCACCCTAGCCCCGGGGGTCATGATTTGAACAAATTTGAATCTACACTACCAGAGGATGCTTCCACATGAGTTTTATACTTTCCTGGCCCAGTGGTTCTTGAGAAGAAGATTTTTGAAAAATGTCATTTATTTTTCACTAATTCATAATTATCTCCCCTTGGAAAAGGGCTTGGCCCTTCATTTAAACAAACTTGAATCCCCTTCACCTCAAAATACTTTGTGCCAAGTTTTGTTGAAATTGGCCCAGTGGTTCTTGAGAAGAAGATGAAAATGTGAAAAGTTTACGACGACAACTACGATAACAACAACAATGACGACAGGCAACGGACAAATTTTGATCAGAAAAACTCACTTGAGCCTTCGGCTCATGTGAGCTAACAATTGAATGGAGAGGAACCTTCCACATTTAAGTAAACTAGTAATCACCTGGAATTTTGTTTGAAAATTTCTTCAGTTTAGCAACAAAGAATCCATCCAAATTATGTGTGTGAGGATAAAACCGTCTAGTTAGGCCATATAAAATTAATCTTTACATTCTCATCCCCGCCCGCCCCTCTCAAAATGTCCCGCCCCGATGTTTTTTATTTTTATTTTTAGGTATTTTCATGTATTTTTATTCAGTAAGAATTTGGTTCAAAGTTTAAGAGTTATCTCCCGTCTGTATTAAAAGTCGCGTGTCGCTATTAATAGCAAAAACGCCATGTGAAGAATGGAGAAAAATCGGCAATAAAAGAAGTTTAAATGTGTAAGGAAAAGATAATTTGTCAGTATAGAGAAGGCAGAGAAGAAAAAATAGCATAAACACATATAGATACCATCACTGGCAGGAGCGAGTATGTAGAGAGATTGTAACTAAGTAAAAATAGACGAGTAAAATGACACCTGGTCAAGTTATATATAACGTTGTACCATAGTTAGGTGTGATTTCTTTTGTTAAAAGTGTGGGTTTTCTGTACATAACCCACACTTTTCTATAACTCCGCCCATCGAGTCGGGACGAAAGAACTATTTATAAAACGATCAAGCATGGTTTTTAAATGAAACAATCGTACGCATGATACGGGCTTGTTATCTTGGTGGTTTTATACCAAATTAAGGGTAGTAAAAAGGAGTAAAAATTTTCCAATTGTCTACAGCATTTTGTAATAAATAACAGTTAAAAAAGGCCATTAATACTTTCACTTTAGTTAAAAGTGAAGAAAAAAACTTCAGAAATCGCTTGAGTTTTAAAACATTTTTTTGGATAGTGTAATGACCAGGGTGACGTTAGCTTAATAGATTCCAATATATCGTTCTTTTGATAAACAACAAAGGAAATGCGGTAAATACTTGACGTAAAACATGTGTATACTACTGTACTTAAATAACCTTTTTGGTTGCGGATATAGCCGATCAAAGATCTAATTTTCATTAAATTGAAATATACATAACCCCTAACAAACATTTCAATCAACGTACAGTGTACCACTTTGCACGGCAAAGTTTGTATCAGGTTTACAAAATTTTAAGTTAAACCAAGTTCACAATAAATTTAAATTACTAGTATGTAATTTTGACGATTGAAATTTACGAGAAAAAAAACATATCAAATTAACATATATCACTGAAACCAAACTCATTTTTTCAATTACATAAATCAAACTTTTTAAACGGGCCTAGATATGTTTAATTTTTATGTCACTTGCGGAGCCCAGTGGTTAAAGTGCCTGCCCTAGAGTCACGAAGTAAGGAGTTGAATCCCACTGTGGGACGTGGAGACCTATACGGTATAAAAAGAGGTCCCGTGTCGCAGAAGGTGTGGACAGGAAGAAGATTCTTCACGGCTCAATGACCCTGAGTGTCGAGTATAGGGCAAAATTTGTAGCAAAATTTGAAAAGTATTGTATACAAATCACTTACCCTATATTCGATGGACGTGGTCAGAAGGACACGAAGGAGCATAAAATCATTTAAAATCCAAATGCATCTTTGAAACCAAACACTTAATGTTTCAATCACGCGAACCAGTCCGACCGATTCCTAAGCTGACTTACATATGAATGATTTTTGAAAACTATGGTACAAGTCATTTACCCCATATCACACTGTTGATTATGCATAGATACCCGATGGGCGTGGTCATAATGACAACTCGGGAGCTACGCTCCCTCGTGTCATTTTGACCACGCCCATCGGGTATCTACACATAACCAACAGTATGATATGGGGTAACTACTACATCTCCAGCTGTGTGACTTTGCTTTGAAATAAACAAAATCTACAACATCGTAGACAGACTTACGAGAAGGCCTAGACTTTTCAGTAGAATAATTATTAGAACATTTATATAGATTTTGCAAAATAAAAAGTCACGCATCCCTACCTCATTTTGTTCAGGGTGTGCCATATAATGTGTGCTTGATAACTTGTTAATTAACAATAAATATTTAATTTTTAAAGCAAAAATTTTCTTTAAATATTTAAAAGAATATGAAAAGAATTAAATCTATTCATATTTGCATTAAGGTAATGAAAAAAAAATGTGTACGTGGCGTCCATTGTTTTGTTGATACTTAGGCCTATATATAAATTAACAATTATAAAAAATAAAAAATAAAATCCGCCCACCCGCCCCAATTTTTTAGCAAATTAGGATGAGAATCTAAAGATTAATTTTACCTGGCCTTAGTTTCATATTGGGGTGGAATCTGTGTTTCTCAAAGCTATAATGATCCAAAAGAAAAATGAATAAATAAGATTCAATACATAATAAATACATAGATGTAGTGTAAAATTTTAATTTTGCAATTTCAAAACACATAATGTTAGCGAAATCTACAGTTAAGGGATACCGACCCTCTGATATGACAGATAACTCTCAGAGACAGTCAGAGTACAAAATATGAATACTACTCATAGTTTTCTTAATCAGAGTTTCCTAATTTAGACCTCTGAGTAGTCAATTCGATGAAACCTAACTTGTGATGGAAACATTACTTTCTATTTCTTTTGCCAATCTCTTACTAATTGTTTTATTATATTTAACAATAAAACATTTAAATCCTTCTTCAAAAGCATTTTAAATTGAGTAAGTTGTATTTTTTAAAAGACCATTTAAATAATGGTTTAATGTTTCAATTCCTAATACAGAATTTTTATAAGTATGACATTTTTTTCATCTGAAGAAATCTTTCGAGGAAGATAACTCCTCCTCACAGATGTATTTTTTTCTTACAACCACATACAACATTGTAATTTTCTGACTTAGGAAGCATCGCTTCATGATGTTTTCTGACATGAATTTAATAGGTATTATACTAAGTATTATTTTCATATACACTTCATATTTCAAATTAAATGTTATGATAATAAATCGTTACTGTTTCTGTTCTCTATGTTGAAATTTCTTCATATCATGATCTGACATACAAATCATTTCTGAAAAAATAAGCTGCGCTTCTTACATCAGACTATTTTCCATGTGACTCTAATGTTATTGTTCTTCATGAAAATCAACATTAGAAATATTAAATTTTCTGAGTGAAATTTGATAGCAGAGGGTCGGTTCCCCTTAAAGTAATACATGTAGTATATACTTTACATATCCTTCTTTGCCAAAGTCTAGCCCTGTGGGTACTAATTTGACATTTCGTTTGCTTAATGCGTACTCTATGACAGATTCATTCTCATCAACCTGGAAAAAATAAATCATATATGTTCCTAACTAATTGCCATAATTTCAAGAGACCTTTTCATGATTTTAGGCGTTTTACACTCACAAGAATAGAACAGGTGGAGTACACAATGTATCCTCCAGTGTTGGACTTGGCATCACAGCAATCAATGGCCGCCAGTAATAATTCTCTCTGTAAATAGGAGCACCTCTGAATGTCCTTTTCATCCTGGAAATGAAATAAATATTTGTTAGCCCTTTTTAACATGGGTTGGATATGAAATAAAGTGCTGTAAGAGCGGGGGACCTGACTGATGACCCCAACTTACCTTATTCATCTTGACCTCTGTATCCTTGGCAATGACCCCTGTCCCACTACATGGGGCATCCAACAAAACTCTGTCAAAACCATGCATAACCTGGACAAAATAATTTTATTTTATATACTAACACACAGACATACATGTATTTCCATCAATATAAAATGATTCTATAACAAAGTAATTCCTTACAAAGGGAAATTTCCTTCCGTCGTAATGGCAGATGACTGTATTAGTGATGCCCATTCTGTGGACATTGCCAACTATTGCTTTTGCTCTGTCTTTGTTGGCATCATTGGCAAACACAACCCCTGTATTCTTTATTAAGGCAGCTAAAACTTAGAAATATCAACCACTACATTGACCTAATTCTTAAAAGTAAAATGCAGTATTCCATACAGGGGAAAATTAATAAAAGCAGTTCTGTATCACAGTCATACGCATATAAATTTTATTTTTCTAAATCAAACACATACTAATACTTTAATGAAATGCATGTATATACCTAAATACATATGGATATACAGATGATAGATTTCAAATGCTCTTGAAAATTAACTTTTGATTAGATTGATGAAAAATGAGATTTTACGGACCAATATGAGTAGTCTTTCCTCCTGGCGCTGAGGACATGTCCAGAACTCTCCTGGGGGACCAGGGCCATGACAGGGAGGTAACTAGATCCTCCTTGTATGATGTAATGGCCCGCCAGGTACTGTAGATCACTAAATTTCCGCGACACCTTATTTTCGCGTGATTATCATTGACTCTTTGTAAGGGAGACATAATTTTCATGAATAATTCTTGTTCCTCTATATAATCGTAAGGAATACTTTTACACCCGAGAATTTAATTTTCGCGAACGCAATGTGTCGCGTAATTACGCGAAAATAAATTTCTCGCGAATAAAAAGTGATTTACAGTATTCAGGTGTGGCACCTAGAAAAATATCAAGTAACAGATACCGCAAAGCTAAAATCTTAGTTTTTTTTTATTGTATAAAACATATTCGTTTTAGATTTTGATGATTATTTCTTACCTAGGGGCACCTGTGAGTCATACACTACGAGTCCAACTTTTGACCACTTTCCAATGGGATCCAAATTTACTCCTCTGTTGATCAAAGCCTTTTTTTTAAAATGGAAAAAGGTGTCATTATAACAATTTCTACAATACCACAAAAAATTATTCTATTAAAAAAACATGTACACATGTAGATCTACATGTACTAATATATTAAAAATTTAGTACAAGCTTCTTTTCAATTCAAGGTATAAGACAGACTTTTTTCCTGATTGTGTAAAACTAGACAATTTTAAAGTATGTAACGGTAAGTGGATAATACTTAACTATAACAATACCTGTGCTAGGTCCCGTCTCCTGGTTTTCAGTGTATTTGTACGAATTGTCACCGGTCTTTGTACTTCATTGGCTTCCAAAAATTCTGATATCTGCAACAAATCAATGACAACTTCTGCCTTTATATTAATCCAGATTTAATTAAAAAGAAATTTTGTATTGACTTCAACTCAGTGCCATGTTCAATACATTTGATCGACCCTTACTTCCTTTAAAATTTTATTTTACCTCATGAGGAAACAGCTGCAGTAGTTTCTCCATAAGGAATTCATTGTAGCTATAATAAGCACACCCTTTCCAAAGTGAAATTATTGCAGCAATATTGCTGCTATGTTGCGGCAACATTGCGGCAACACATTTTTGTCAACAGAAACAAGCTTTTTGGGTTAGTGAAATATCACCGCTATCTGCAACAACTTCTGGTGACATTCTGGCAATACTGCCAAAAAAAAATGAAATATCACCGCTAGCTGCAACAACTTCTGGTGACATTCTGGCAATACTGCCACAAAAAAACTTTCTGACAACATCTAGGATTTATTAACCCATGAGCCATTTGTTGAGCATGCTCAGTTTTTTACTTCCTCTTTTTAAATAAAGTGGAGGGAATTCAAAGACAAGCATGTTTTGCTTCATTACTGACTTGTATCAAGTTAATTACAGTTGTTAATTGTGTACAGTGGGATTAGACAAGATGAGTAGTAAGACTGCATAATGTGGAATGACTACAAAAAAGAATTTCAGCAGAATTATATGTCTATTCCATTTTCATATCATCAGACTTGGTGAGTCAAAACCAGTATATATTCTTTTTGAGATGAATGATTCTATGGAGATAAAATTGGAAAAATTCTGTGTTTTAACTAGTGCGTGTGATGCATGCATACTAGACTTGTATGTCTATATATCCTAGAGCAGCATGCAGGAAAAGATGAATTAAAGCATGTTATTTGAAAATTAATACAGAGTTGCTGGACATTTTCACAGTGGCATATTAATAATGTTTCTATAAACATTTTTAATGCACCCGCCTCGATAGATCGGGGGGCGCATATTGTTTTTGTCCTGTCTGTTTGTTTGTAAACTTTAACCTTCACCTTAACTTTTGAACCAATGAGAGATAAAGATTTCATATTTGGTATGCATAGTCCACTAATTAAGTTCTTTCAAATGACATTAAGGTCAATGACCTTGTGACCTTGACTGTGAACTATATACTAAAAATAGCTTTTTCGAATATTCACCATAACTTTAAAATCATAAAAGATAGAAACTTTTTATTTATAATGCATAATTCACTAATTAAGCTTTTTCAAAAGACACGTGAAGGTCAGTGATCTTGGCTGTAACCCATATGCTTAAAATAGATTTTTTGAACCTTGGACATAACTTTTGATCCATAAAAGATAGAGAACTCATATTTGGTATGCGCCTTTATTAATTAAACTCAAATAACACCAAGTTCAATGACAATTTGACCTTTACTGTGATCCAATTATGCTAAAATAGCCATTTTCATCATCTGCCATAAATTTTGAACTATAAGAGATAGAGACTTCATATTTAGTATGCATACTCCACTAATAAAGATCTTTCAAATGACACCAAGATCAATGACCTTGTAACCTTGACTGTGACCCATATGCTATAAATAGCTTTTTCAAACTTTATTGCCACCAGGTGCATAGTGACTTTCCCAAAAATATCTTGATTTTCATTACGATGATCAACATAATTTTCTATCTCTTCAAAGAATAGCAGAAGTAGCTTATTCTTATTGATCCTGTGGCTTGCTATTGTTTGTTATATTCCTCTGCACAGTTTATTAATTGTTAGATTGATAGATCATTATTTCTATCAAATACCAATTTATATAGGTAGTACTGTAGTGTTGCTCCAATATTGCTGCAGCAAGACCTGAAATAATACATCTACTACAATGGCTTTGCAGCAACATTGTCGCAACACTTTTCTGGCAATATTGCCGCAAATCTAATTTACATACGAAAAACGATATTGCCGCAATATTGCGGCAATAATGCCAGAAGATGTTGCCAGAAGGTGGATATTTTGGTAAAGGTGCAGAGATCCTTGACAAGTTGATCTAAATATTCCTGCCTGCTTCTGTAGCAAATAAAAAACACAATCTATTATAATCTCTGATACATATCATGTACTGCTACTTCCTTGTATAAAAAAACACAATATATTAGAAACAGGAAGAAATTTCCTGGATGCATCTCTAGAGAATAAGGGTAGGTTGTGTCTTGTAATATGTTTTACATTTGTATCGCTAGTTGTATCACTAGTGAAGAGAGAGGTTTTATCTCTTAATTACCCAAGGGTTTGTGATAAAGTGATGATATTGAGTATGTTTACATCACATACATAATTTAATACCAAAATACCGGTACATAGTTTTTTTTTAAAAAAGTACAGCATAGTACATTGTATTTAACAAAATTATAAAGCTAGAACTGTCCTAGCAGATCTTATACCTATTTGTGAGGAAACTATAGAATATTTATGTTAAAACAATCCGTATTACCTTTGAATTACCTTTCTAAAACCATTGAAGAAAATCATGCATTCTTAAATTTCAATGCCTGTTTCTTGCTAAAGAGTACCCTTTAATTGCTAAAGGTTGTCACAAATCTAGTCACTGAGTAAAAAATATGACCACCCACAGTCCAACTTAAAATTTCATGTTCCGGTTATTGAATGAACATTTATTTCTAAGTCATAAGATACTGACATTGTCCAAATGATTATGTCATAAAATCATGACGAAATCCGTTTTTTAAATGAACCTTTGAGCTAAGTATCCTGACCTCTTATGCTCTTCCATTGAAAGATTTATCTTTTTTTATTTGAATTTGACATAACAGATACCTTCAGAATTTGACAGTTTTGAACTCTGTGACCTTGGCATTGATTAAATGACCTTTTAAGCTCAACTGAGCTGAAAGGTCAAGTGAGCTTTTCTGATCTCATTTTGTCAGTTGTGCATCTGTCCAATTATCTGTCTGTAAACTTTTAACATTTTCGACTTCTTTTCAAGAACCACTGGGCCAATTTCAACCAAACTTTCCATATAGCATCCCTTGGTGAAGGGGATTCAGGTTTGTTCAAATGAAGGGCCCCGCCCTCTTTCAAAGGGAGGTAATTAAGAAATAGTAAAAATTTGGTGGCATGTTTGAAAAACCTTCTATTTCTATTAAGATTCGTTTTTTTTCAGGAATTTCGGCACTTTTCAACTTAGATTTTTGGCCATACCTTGGATGTATGGGGCGCTGGTTTGGTAATTACTGCCAAAAAGTGATATCACCTATTCGTATAGGTGATATCACCTATCCAATTGGTGATATCATCTATTCGAATAGGTAATATCACCTATTCGAATAAATGATATCACCTACTCGAGTAGGTGATATCACCTATTTGATTTGAATTGGTGATACCACCTATTCGAAAAGGTAATATCACTTATTCGAATAGGTGATATCACCGATTCGAATAAGTGATATCACCTACTAGTATTCGAATAGGTGATATCACCTATTTGATTTGAATTGGTGATATCACCTATTCGAAAAGGTGATATCACTTTTTCAAATAGGTGATATCACCTATTCAAATTGGTGATATCACCTATTTATTTTCAATAGGTGATATCAACTATTCGAAAAAGTGGTATCACTTATTCGAATAGGTGATATCACCTATTAGAATAGGTTATATCACCTGTTGGAAATGAATAGGTGATGTCACCTATTCGAATAAGTGATATCACCTATTCGAATAGGTGATATCACATATCTGAAAAAGTGATATCACCTATTCAGCACGAATAGGTGATATCACTTATTCGAATAGGTGACATCACCTATTCATTTCCAATAGGTGATATTACCTATTCTGATAGGTGATATCACCTATTCGAATAAGTGATATCACCTATTGAAGATGAATAGGTGATATTACCAATTTGAATAGGTAATATCACCTATTCGAATAAGTGATATCACCTTTTCGAAGAGCTGATATCACTTTTTGCCAGTAAATACCAAAACGGCGCCACATATAGATGTAGAGATGAACAGTTTATCAGCGCAACTTCTCATAAACCACTGCACAGAATTCAATCAAACTTTGCAGATATTTAGGACACAATGTTAAGATGTGCCTATTACCAGGACATTTCTTATTTTCTGGGAATTTCAGCACTTTTCAACATAGATTTTTGGCCATATCTTGAATATAGAGATGACCAGTTTGTCAGCTGAACTCCTCATAAACTGCTGCACAGAATTTGGTCAAACTTTGCAGATATTTAGGACACAATTTGTAGATGTGTAATTACTAGGAAATTCCGATTATTTTATTGTTTCCGGGAATATCGGCACTTTTCAATTTAGATTTTTGGCCATCATCTTCATAAATCGCTGCACAGAATTTTTTAAAACTTTGCACATACCGGACGTCGCGCACGATACTGGTGATACATAACTTTACGCTTATAACGTCACAAAAACGTAAAATGATGCAACAAGTGCAACGTTATATTTTTACAATGTAACCTTATGATTGATTTCTATTCTTCCATCAAACAACTATGTTTAATATTTAAAAAAATAAAATGGGGGTAATACATGTTCACATTGTACCATTACAAGTAAACAATTAATTTATGTGATTAAAAAACAAATATTTTCAATTTTGTCTACATGATGCAAAGAAATTGGCGCCCAGGAAAAAATTTCAACACACAAAAGTCTGAAATCGTATTCCGGGCTTCTTGTGATTTGGATATTTTACACGCTAGGAAATCCAATAACAGAAAATAATATCTATACCATAAAAATTTAAATATTTTTTTTAGCTTTATGTGTATGCTAAGTGTAGTTTGCTAGTAGTTCTGCTTCATATTTGACAAGAATTGAGACATGCGCAGATCTAGCAGGGGTCAAGAACAACCCCTCCCCAATTCTCCAATACACACAATTAATTTATGTATAATAAAGTAACCAATATGACCGTGGAGCGCCATTATAAAATAAGTACACTGTACACCATCGTGCAAAATGGTCAGGAAAGTCAGGAAAGTCCTATTTATGACGGAAAGTTATTTATTCTTTGCCCTTATACCCCGCACTCAACAAGCTTAAGATATGTTTTTTCTATAATGCACACATAGACAATTTTGTAACTTTAAAAAGTGTTTTTAATAAACATTTCACATGTTTACCTTTATTGCTCAGGAATCTTTAGATATTCAATGAAACTGTATAATAAGACTACAAATTTTGTTTCAAGTTTTACAACATAGTACATGTACATTTATA